GGGTGCTCAGGTACACAGCTGTGTGTGTAGGAAGGCTTGTGTTTGTTCTGGGCTGTATTTGAGAAATACCTGTCACTGTGAATTCATGTTGTCAGACAAGGGACAGGGGCAGGGGCGTCCCTCAGGACTGCCCTGGACACCCTGACGGAGACAGAACAGAGTGTCTCCAGAGGAGCCGGGGGCAGGCAGGAGGAGGGACAGAGAAGGAATCAAGTGTCTGGCTCCTGGCACAGCCCCTGCTAGTGCACCTGTGTGAGTTCTGCTGCCAGAGCGTGGCTCTGTGGCTCAGGACCTGCGCCTGTGGCTGGGAGGTTGCTGGTTCAAATCCCGCAGCCGGCAGAGGAATCCTACTGTTTAGCCCCTGAGCAAGGCTCTTCACCCCACCTGCTCCAGGGGTGCTGTACAATGGCTGACCCTGCCCTCTGACCCCAGACTTCTCTCTCCCTGTCTGTGTGTCTCATGGAGAGCAAGCTGGGGGCTGTGAAAAGACAAATTCCTGATACAAGAGATTGTACAGGGCCAATAAAGTGATCTATACTGATGAGCAGGTGCCCAGCAGCAGCACGGCGGCACTGATGTTGGCCCCTGGGGTGATGAGAGAGAGCAACTTTCCTCAAAGCCGAGGCCGAGGGCAGACGATCTCTGTCTGCTTCCCTGCCACCCTGGTGCGTCTGAGCCAGAGAGCGGAGTATTGATCTGTCCATCAAACAGTATGTGATATGGTGCCTTTCAAGGAAAACATGCTACAAGACACAGAACATGAAGACCCATTCAGATACAACAGAAAGTGAGAGGCGTGCCCGAGGTCAAATAGCTGCTGTCAGCCAAACGAGTCAGATGGTTTGTGACCTGTCTGATGTTCTTCTGAAAGGAGAGAATTTTCGCTCCTGGAATGGCAGTAGGAACTCATCACTGTGATGCTAACTAGCCCCAGGTCTACAGGAAGTGCTGGATCAGGGGTAAGAACAAGCCCCAGGTCTACAGGAAGTGCTGGATCAGGAGTAAGAACAAGCCTCAGCTCTACAGGAAGTG